GCCCGGGAATCGAACCGTGACCTCCAGGTTCAGAGGTCGACGCTCAGCCACTGAGCCGCGCCAGCTGGCTGGGCTCCAGGTGTCTTTAATATTCGGAGGCACCCAAATGAGCGTGGAGTGGAGTTTGGGATTACTCTTTGGTTGGTTTTGCTGTTTTAGTTTTATCTTGGGTCTGTCTGGTGTTTTTTTGTTTTGTTTTTTTTTAATGTATTTTATTGATTTTTTACAGAGAGGAAGGGAGATGGATAGTGAGCGAGAAACATCGATCAGCCGCCTCTTGCACACTCCCACAGGGGGTGTGCCTGCAACTAAGCTACATGCCCTTGACCGGAATCAAACCTGGGACCCTTCAGTCTGCAGGCCGACGCTCTATCCACTGAGCCACACTGGTTTCAGCTCCGGTGGGGTTTTCTGAGCTCCCTGCCTTCCCCTGTCCTTGGGTTCGGCCGGCACCGGTGGCATTACCCGGGCCTCTGTTCTCTCTCTCCCGTACCCGGGGGCTAAGGTCTGTGTCCTCTGGTTGGGAGGAGACAGACAAACCGTTTGCTCTCACGTGTCCTTGGCGGGGGGAACACAGTCTGGAGATTCATGAAATATAGTGGCAACCATACTTTGGTAAAAACTGCTATTTGAATTTTAACCCTGCATCTGATTAAAGCACAGGGTACTTACCTCAGCTTGCAGGTGGAGACCTGGAGGCTAAGGCAATTTTCCCTTGCCTGGGACCAGGCCCACAGGAGAATGATTCCCACTGACTCAGTAGCTTCAGGGATAGAAACTGTAGATAACCTTTAGGGTCTAACCGCTGAGCTCTGCTTCCGTGTTTTCGCTATCACAAGATAGGGCCACATTCCAATGTCCAGCAGGATGTGACTGGGAACCGACCCTGCGGGCTGTCTCCAGTCTTTAGAATGTAGTCTTTAGGATTTAGAATTTAGAACAAAGGAAAATTCCTGTGGTTTGAACCTTTAAAAGGGACTGCCTACCCCTGAAACGGGGCAGTCGTCTGGAGTCCACCTGCGTGTGGTGCTCTTGTGGCTGTCCTGGCCAGTTCAATAAATCCTTGCCTGCTTTTTTAAATTAATTAACCAGCCTCCGGTGGTCTTATTTTGAACCCAGGGTTCTACCCCACAACAATTCACCAGCTGGCTGCACTTTGTTCCAGTGGTTTGGCCTCACGTGTGTGTGTGTGTGTGTGTGTGTGTGTGTGTGTGTGTGTGGTTTGGCCTCGCGTAGTGTCCTGTCTGGTTTCCCCCTTCTCCGGGCCCAGTTTTCCCAGCTTCTGGCTGTCCTGCCTCCGTCGGCCCAGTCTGTGTCTGTCTGCCACCGGGGCCCCGGCTGTGTGGTCATCGCTGTGGCCTTTCTGTGGACTCGGCCCTGAGCTGTCTCCCTGGGGACCCGGGCAGGAGCAGTCCTGGCCAGTCCTCGGGGCTGTGCCCGGCAGACCGGAAGGGGGCACACCCTGGGAGGCTGGGAGGAGGGGGGGGCAGGCTGCGGGTGCTCCGGGAGGAAGCCTGCCAGGGCCCCGTGGGGACGGTGGGCCCTCTCCCCGACCGACCCCCGGCCTCCAGGGTCACACCGCACACCGCAGGTCTGGCTTCCGGGAAGCCGGCGACAGACACTGGGACAGCGGGCGTGGACCCGGTCAGCTCTCCACCCTCCACGCCATCCTGACCTCAGGCCAGTAATTTGGGATGTGAGTCATGGGAAGAACGCAGGACAAACACACCTCGGGAGGAGGGAAAGGCCACTCCCGCTTCCCCCCGGGGAGGCGATGTGTGCGGGCCGGGAGGTGCAGTGCCCAGCAGCCGGGCACACAGGACCCACTTCCAGGGACCCACGAGGTGCCAGACCCCAGACCGCAGGGTCCCCGCTGAGGGCCTGGATCCTGCTCCCGGGTGGCATTTGGCCAGATCCGGGGCCCTCTTGCAAGAGACGGTAAGGATGGAGGGGAGAGGGATGGAGGAAGGGGGTGAGGGGGGGGCGGGGGCGGGGGCAGGGAGGGTCCATAATCTTGGCCACGGAGTCTCCTTCTTTTCAGAATCTGGGCATCAGACCCGGAATGTGAGGAACGGGCTCTTAGTCACCATCCCATTAGGATCCACATCGGAACCCCAGGCTCTTGGACTGTGGGGGAGGGGGGGCAGCCCGAGGGGAGGCCGCCCCGAGGATGCAAATACATCACCGCCCTCAGGTGTCCAGGAAGCTCTCCAGCCTGCACCTTCCCGGAAAGCCACCACATGGTCACGTGGGCCCAGGAGCGAGCCCTCGCACCCGATGATTGCACCACTTCTCAGGCCCTTGGATTCCTGTTCCCGCATAACCTGTAACCTCCGCGCGGAGAGGCAGGCGCGCACCGGCCAGCAGCGCGCACAGAGCGTCTCCAGGAGCGCAGCGCGCAGGTAACTGGCAGCCACGGGGCTCATCCCAGCGTCCCCGGGCCCCACCCCTGCCACCCCCCAACCCCCATGGGAGCCTCTGGCCCGGTGTATCTCTCTGTGATGGGGTCGCCGGTAGATTCTCCTCGGGGTGCCGGCTGTCTCTCCGCCCATGGAACCCGCCGGCCCATGCTCTGCTCCTAGGACCTTCCTCGTGGTGTGTGCTTCTCCCCCCTCCCGCGGGGGTATCTGCTCATTCCCCCTCTCCGGCTGCTGCGAACATGCCCCGCGTGTCTTCTGGCTCCGTCTGTTCATCTCCCTTGTGCCCCACGGTTTCCCCCGAACAGAGGTTCCAGGCAGACTGGCTGGCACGCGCGCGCGCGCACACACACATGGGTGACCCCTGTCGCTTCTCTGTGCCTCAGTTTCCCTCTTTGTTATTGTGATCATCATTATTTTTCTTTAAAAAATGTATTTAAGCCGAAACCGGTTTGGCTCAGTGGATAGAGTGTCGGACTGCAGACTGAAAGGTCCCAGGTTCGATTCCGGTCAAGGACATGCACCTTGGTTGCTGGCACATCTCCGGTGAGGGGTGTGCAGGAGGCAGCTGATGGATGTTTCTCTCTCATCAATGTTTCTAGCTCTCTATCCCTTTCCCTTCCTTTCCGTAAAAAAAAAATCCATAAAATATATTTCAAAGTATATATGTATTTAAAAATATATTCTTATTGATTTCAGAGAGGAAGGGAGAGGGAGAGACGGAAGCATCCATGATGAGAGAGAATCATTGATCCGCTGCCTCCTGTACGCCCTCTATTGGGGATCGAGCATGTGACTCAGGCACATGCCCTGGACTGGAATCCAACCTGGGACCCTTCAGTCCGCAGGCTGATGATGCTCTATCCATTGAGCCAAACCAGCTAGGTCTTAAAAAATATTTTTATTGAGTTCAAAGAGGAAGGGAGAGGAAGAGGGAGGTAGAAACATCAGTGACGAGAGAGAATCATTGATCCGCTGCCTTCTGTACACCCCACACTGGGGGGTCGTGCCTGCAAACCGGGCATGGAACCAGGAGTCTATTCCTGACTGGGAATCGAACCGTAACCTCCTGGTTCACAGGTTGATACTCAAACACTAAGCCACGCGGGCCGGGCCCTCTTTATTATTGTATCCGTCAAATATCAATAAGCACACGCTGTGTGCCTGATACCGTTCGGGATGCCGGACATGGCAAGGAAGAGCAGACACTCCAGGAAATGGGGATAATTCTGGGAAATGGAGATAATAATAACTTACTTCATAGGGTTACGCCTCATCTATTATTTGAATGATTATAAAATTATTATGATAATTACTAGAGGCCCAGTCCACGAAATTCATGCATGGGGACGGGGAGAGGGGTGTCCCTCAGCCCAGCCTGCACCCTCTCCCATCTGGGACCCCTAGAGGGATGTCCGACTGTCTGTTTAGACCCGATCCTGCTGGGATCAGGCCTAAACGGGCAGTCGGACATCCCTCTCACAATCCAGGACTGCTAGCTCCCAACTGCTCGCCTGCCTGCCTTTCTGATCGCCCCTAACTGCTCCCCTGCCAGCCTGGTCACCCCTAACTGCCCTCTCCTTCAGGCCTGGTCACCCCTAACTGCCCTCCCCTGCAAGGTTGATCACCTCCAACTGCCCTCCCTTGCAGGCCTGGTCCCTCCCAACTGCACTCCCCTGCTGGCCATCTTGTGGTGGCCATCTTGTGTCCACATGGGGGCAGGATCTTTGACCACATGGGGCAGCCATCTTGTGTGTTGGAGTGATGGTCTATCTGCATATTACTCTTTTATTAGATAGGATAGAGGCCTGGTGCACGGGTGAGGGCCAGCTGGTTTGCCCTGAAGGGTGTCCCAGATCAGGGTGGGGGTTCCCTTCAGGTGTGGGTGGCCTGGGCGAGGGGCCTGTGGTAGTTTGCAGGCTGGCCACACCCCCTGGTGACCCAAGCGGAGGCCCTGGTTTCTGGATTTATTTACCTTGTACAATTAAAGCTTTGTAGCCTAGAGCTGAGCCAAGCCTCCTGTTCGCAGCCATTTCTGTTGGGGTTCATGTATCTTCTATCAGTGACACTTTGTAGCCTGGAGCGGAGGCTGGGCCGGCCAGGGTGTGGGGAAAGCTTGGCTTCCTCCATTGCTGGGGGCAAACCTAGCCTCATGCTCTTTCCAGCTCCGTTTGGATTTGTTTACTTTCTATCAGTGACACTTTGTGGCCTTGAGTGGAGGCCTAGGCCGGCAAGGTCAGGGGGAAAGCTTGGCTTCCTCCATTGCCTGGGAAACCCAAGCCTCCCCCCTGCTCTCTGTGGCTGTCGCCATCTTGGTTGGGTTTATTTGCATACTCGCTCTGATGGGCTGGTGGGCGTGGCTGGTGGGCATGGCTGGTGGGTGTAGCAGAGTGATGGTTAATCTGCACATTACTCTTTTATTTTTATTTTTTTTATTTTTTTATTTTTAATATATTTTATTGATTTTTTACAGAGAGGAAGGGAGAGAGATAGAGAGCCAGAAACGTCGATGAGAGAGAAACATCGACCAGCTGCCCCTTGCACACCCCCCACTGGGGATGTGCCCGCAACCAACGTACATGCCCTTGCCTGGAATCGAACCTGGGACCTTTCAGTCCCCAGACTGACGCTCTACCACTGAGCCAAACCGGCTTCGGCTTTTTTTTTTTTAATATATTTTATTGATTTTTTACAGAGAGGAAGGGAGAGAGATAGAGAGCCAGAAACTTCGATGAGAGAGAAACATCGACCAGTACTCTTTTATTAAGCAGGATGTTTTAGATGTAGATAGAGACCTACCAATAGACTGTATTATATAAAACTAGAGGCCTGCGGACTGAAAGGTCCCAGGTTCGATTCCTGTCAAGGCCATGCACCTTGGTTGCCGGCACATCCCTGGTGAGGGGTGTGCAGGAGGCAGCTGATGGATGCCTAGGGTCCCTAGAAGCTGCTGGCTGCTGGCTGCCACCCGCTACCGGGTGCCTCCCTCCCTTCCCCTGGCCGGCCCCGCCCCCTGGCCGAACTCCTGGGCGACCTCCCAGTCAGGGGGACAATTTGCATATGATAAAAACTATGCTTTTATTATACTGTAAAGGACAATAACGCTGCACGTGGATTGCCATTAAATGTCCTTTCGTACGAGGCTGGTCCAGACAGCGCACTGGCTCTGCAGCCGTTAGTTATGGAGGCAGGAGGGTCTGTGTGTGCAGAGGGAAACAGATCAAAGACAAGATTAAGCGATGGCCAGTGGGTGCTGACTGTTCCCATTTCTGTTTAACACAGCAGTAAAAGGGAAGTAACATACACAGAGTTGCTTACGCGCAGAGAACTTTCCGGATTTTAATCGCTAAGAGCCGGGGGAGTCTCGGGGCTGGGAGAGAGGGTGGGCCCAGAGGGTAGAGAGCAGTGCCTGCCTCGCACACACGCCGGAGGCCGCCGAGGACTCAGCTCTTCACGCCCATGAACTCGGCGAATCCCCACCACACCCGCCAGGTGAGGCCAGTGGAGGCACAGAGAGGTTAAGCGTCGTGCCCAAGGCCACACAGCTCGTGAGAGTTTAAGTATTTTAAAAAATATATTTTATTGATTTTTTTACAGAGAGGAAGGGAGAGGGATAGAGAGTTAGAAATCATCGACCAGCTGCCTCTTGCACACCTTCCACCGGGGATGTGCCCGCAACCAAGGTACATGCCCTTGACCGGAATCGAACCCAGGACCTTTTGGTCCACAGGCCGATGCTCTATCCACTGAGCCAAACTGGTTTCGGCTAAGTTTTTAATTAAAAAGAAAATCCTCACTCAAGGATATGTTTCTATTGATTTTTAGAGAGAGAGAAGGCTCGGGGGAAGAGAAACATCCACATGAGAGAGAAACATTGATTAGTTGCTTGCCATACACCCCAGAAGAGGGATGGAACCCCAAACCTAAGGATGTGCCCTGACAGGGAATCGAGGTTACCACCTTTTGGGGCACCGGATGCTGCTCCAACCCACTAAGCCACCCAGCCAGGAAGAGTTTAAAAATAATTTTTAAAGAACTTTAAAAAATAGATATTTTTCTTGATTTCAGAGAGAAAGGGAGAAGGAAAGAGAGAGGGAAGCATCATTGATGAGAGAGGATCATTGATTGACTGCCTCCTGCATGCCCCCTGCTGAGGATTGACCTCCCACAACCTGGGCATGTGCCCTTGACCAGAATCGAACCCGGGACCTTTCAGTCCACAAGCCGATGCTCTGTCCACTGAGCTAAATGGGCTAATGCTTTACTTTTTAATTAATTAATTGATTCATTGATTGATTGATTTTTAAAGAGAGGAAGGGTCCTGGCCAGTGTTGCTAAATGGTTAGAACACCAGCCTTTGCATTGAAGGGTCTTGGTTTCAATGCCAGGTCAAGGGCATGTATCTGCGCTGTGGGTTTGATTCCTGGCCCCAGTCTGGGCATGTGCTCTCTCATATCTCTCTCTCTCTCTCTCTCTCTCTCTCTCTCTCTCTCTCTCTCTCCCTCTCTCCCCCTGCCTCCCTTCCACTCTCTCCAGAAATCAATGGGGAAAATATCCTCAGGTGAGGATGAACATAAATAGAGAGAGAGAGAGACATTGCTTTGCTGTTCCACTTATTTATTTATTTTTTAAATATATTTTATTGATTTCAGAGAGAAAGGGAGAGGGAGAGAGAGAAGCATCAATGGTGAGAGAGAATCACTGATCGGCTGCCTCCTGCACACCCCGTACTGGGGATCTGCAACCCGGGCATGTGCCCTTGACTGGAATCGAACCCGGGACCTTTCAATCCGTCGGCCGACGCTCTATCCACTGAGCCAAACCAGCCAGGGCGGTTCCCCCTGTTGGTGCCCGCATTGGCTGTTTCTTATCTGTGCCCTGACTGGAATCGAACCCGGGACCTTTCAATCCGTCGGCCGACGCTCTATCCACTGAGCCAAACCAGCCAGGGCGGTTCCCCCTGTTGGTGCCCGCATTGGCTGTTTCTTATCTGTGCCCTGACTGGAATCGAACCCGGGACCTTTCAATCCGTCGGCCGACGCTCTATCCACTGAGCCAAACCAGCCAGGGCGGTTCCCCCTGTTGTGCCCGCATTGGCTGTTTCTTATCTGTGCCCTGACTGGAATCGAACCCGGGACCTTTCAATCCGTCGGCCGACGCTCTATCCACTGAGCCAAACCAGCCAGGGCGGTTCCCCCTGTTGTGCCCGCATTGGCTGTTTCTTATCTGTGCCCTGACTGGAATCGAACCCGGGACCTTTCAATTCGTCGGCCGACGCTCTATCCACTGAGCCAAACCAGCCAGGGCGGTTCCCCCTGTTGTGCCCGCATTGGCTGTTTCTTATCTGTGCCCTGACTGGGATCCACTGCAGCCCGGTGCGTCCGGGAGACGCTCTCACCGCCTGGCCCGGCCAGGGCTCCGAGGGTTTGGGTTTTGAAAGCTCGCACGGGGTCACTCCAGGTCGGAAATACGGGAATAGAGTGCCCTTCTTCCAGCACATTCCAACTTCAAAGGGCGGGCCTCTCAGCGGCTGCTCAGCTTCTCCTTCGCTTTTGCAGGAGGGAGGGAACCAGGGGGGGGCGCGCCCCAACTTCCCCTCCGCCTTTCCTGTTTTGGCAGCCCTGACGGGAACTCTGGGCAGCACCAGCTTGCCAGCCCAGGTCAGCAGCGAGCCTCAGAGTCAGGCCCCCCGAGGAATCCCCCAGCTCCCCAGCTCCCCAGCTCCCCCAGTTACCCCAGTTACCCCAGTTTTCGCTCTGTGCCACATGCCTCTCACACAGTAACTCCCCGAGGCCTCACCAAACCGGTGAGGCAGGCTCACCAGGGTGCCTCTCATTCCTCAGACTAACCGAAACCGAGCCACAGAGCCCCACCTGCTGCGGCCACTGGCTGTCCTGCCTGTAGCCCTCCCGAGTCTAAGGTTTTGGGATGATGATATTCTAGGGCCCGGAGTACCAGAGTGGGGCTAACACGGTTTGAAACTCAACTCTGCTTCTTGCTTAGCTGAGCCACCTTAGATAAGTTACTTAACTCTCTGTGCCTCGGTCTCCTCATCTGCAGAATGGGTATCACGGTGGCATTAAAACCAGACGGCTGGCCCTCACCGGTTTGGCTCAGTGGATAGAGCGTCGGCCTGCGGACTGAAGGGTCCCAGGTTCGATTCTGGTCAAGGGCATGTACCTTGGTGGAGGGTACATCCCCAGTAGGGCATGTGTAGGATGCAGCTGATCGATGTTTCTCTCTCATCGATGTTTCTAGCTCTCTATCCCTCTCTCTTCCTCTCTGTAGAAAATCAATAAAATATATTTAAAAAAAAACACACACACACACAAAAGAAAAAACTAGAGGGTTGGCCCTAACCAGTTGGGCTCAGTGGATAGAGCGTCGGCCTGCAGACTGAAGGGTCCCAGGTTCGATTCCAATCAAGGGCATGTACCTTGGTTGCAGGCACATCCCCAGTGGGGGGTGTGCAGGAGGCAGCTGATCGATGTTTCTTTCTCTTTGATGTTTCTAACTATCTCTCTCCCTTCCTCTCTAAAAAAAATCAATAAGATATATTTTTAAAAAACCCAGAGGGTTGTTATAAAGATTAAACAATTCGATGTGTAACGGTGCTTGGAGCAATGCCCAGCACATAACACAAAGTGTGCAGTAGATAATGGCTTCTAAGAACTACGTTAATAATCATACCAACAACCATAATTATTATTTTATTTATTTATTTATTTATTTATTATTTTTTCAATATATTTTATTGATTTTGTACAGAGAGGAAGGGAGAGAGATAGAGAGTTAGAAACATCGATGAGAGAGAGTCATCGATCAACTGCCTCTTGCACACCCCCTACTGGGGATATGCCCGCAACCAAGGTACATGCCCTTGACCGGAATCGAACCCGGGACCCTTCAGTCCCCAAGCCAATGCTCTATCCATTGAGCCAAACCGGTCTTGGCTATTTATTTATTTTTTTAATTAAAATAGGAATTGAACATTATATTACAAAGTAAAATTCAACATAAGAATTCTCTAAAACAAAGTGATTCAGAAAGGTTGACAAAGATATACTTGGCAAATGCAAGCAAAAATAAAGTTAATATTTCTTCTAAAGTCATGACTGTTACGCCCAGACTTCATGATCCCCAAGGACCACCAGGGAGCCGAGTCCGATGCAATAAACAAAAGAGCCTTTTTCATGCTAGCATGGGCTCTGTCCCACTCACGCCAGCAGCATGGGGGAAGAGAGAGCGAATTTTGCTCAGTCCAGGGGTTTTACTCCGGTCGGTGGTGATATCACTGCCTTTGCTAACCCTGATTGGTTGGGTGAGGGCTAGGGTTCAATTACAAAATGGAGGATAACTCCGCTCTGCCCCACAGTGGAGTCAGGAGCCCATCCTCGCCCTGCCCTGCCCTTTCATTCCCCCCTTGTCTAATGTGCCTGAGTCAAATCATTGACCAGCCTACTTTCTTTCAGCATAAACAACAAATACAGTTACCAAGAGCCTTAGTACCACAGTTTCCATCAGTATTGTCCTCACTGAAGTCCAGTTCCCCTCCTCAAGCATCAGTTCTCCTCCTGGCCTGTAGTTGCCAGGATCCAGGCCACGCAGGAGCTGGGAGTCATGTAGTCAGGTCTGGGTGCCATCTACTTCAACAGCAGTGGGCGTGCTCAGGATAACAGTGCAGCATCCCTTTGAGTCCTTGGGCAGCAAATTTCTTTACCCACATTGAGTTCCAGGGCTACAGGGTCTGCGGTGGGCACTGGCAGTGCATCTGGAACAAGCAAACTGCAGAGCCTGTAAGGACTTGAGCAAGAAAATGGTTACCATACATGATTCCCTCCCAAAAAGGGGAAACTTGTCCCAGTAAGGGGTCCTGGCCCTCAAGAGGGCAAAGGACAGGGGTTTGGTCCAATTTTCACCAATTCTAAGACACATTTAGCTAAACCCTTTTTCCAGAGTCTCACTTGCCTGTCCTAAGGCTAGAGCTATACTCTGTGATACCTTAGCTACCAAGGTGGGGCTGTTATCTGATAGTGGGGTATACCTCAACCTAATCTGAAGTGTCTACAGAAACTAGACCTTAATGCTGGTGGTTTAATCTCTGAAATCCACCTGCCAATGGTCTCCTGGGGAAGTTCCCTGGGACCCGAATTCCCAGGGGGACCCCCTTACCTTGCTTAGCACTTACCTGTGCACAGACAGTACTTCTAGCAACTCTGCCTCACAGAAGCTCAGAAGTCTTGGTGACACTTAAGTGGGTAACCTGGTGTCACCGGGCAACTCTGACCTAGAGCCTCTGGGACCAACAGTCTTGTCATCTGGAGGGTCCACCAATCATCTGGTCTGTCAGGGGCTTGCTTCTGTCCAGCCGATTCCTTCCGGCTGCAGTTGGTAACCCTCTTTTCTCTGTGGATGGCACAGTGTCTCCATCAAAGGGCCTGGATTAAGGCCAAAAGTTCTGGAGCTGTGCCCAAATAACAACCATAATTATTATTGCTGTGATATTGATAGATGGTGTCGCTTCTCTGCTCAGGACCCGCCCAGCTCACACGGAATAAAAGATAAGGTCGGAAACGGCCCACGTGGCCCCTGATAGCTCTCTGTTCTGAATCTCCTCATCTGCCACGCGGGCCACGCTGATGTTCCCTGCATGTGGCCGTGACCACGTTCCTCCCTCAGGGCCCCTCCTCCTCGAAGTCTCCCCGAAACCCTACCCAGCGCCCTCTCACCTCCTGTATGGCTTTGCTCAGACGTCACCTCCTCCAAGAAGCCCTCCCTGACCACTCGTTCAAAATGCCAACAGAGGGAATTAAAAATTCCTGTGTGATTTCCCTCTCTTTCCCTCTCTCTCCTCTCTCTCTCTCTCTTTCCCTCTCTCTCTCTTCCCTCTCCCCCCCCCCCCCCCATAGCGTTTCTCACCTTCGGAAATATTTAGTATTTTGCTTATTTTTCCCCCCTGACTCCTCTCACAAGAGTGGCAGACCCAAGGGAAATGGGGTTTCTGTCTGTCTGTCCCTTGCTGGGTGTCCAGCGATGACAATGGAGAAAGTTGTATTGAATAAACGAACGAACGAATGAATGAATGAATGAATGAATGAATTGTAGAGAATTAATGTTGTTTCCCTGCTTACCCAACGCTATCATTACTTTTTAACATTGCCCCGATGGGATTCTAGAAACATCTGTTTCTCAACATGGCTGTTGGCTACTCAGGTGTGCTCGGGTTGGGAAACCCAGAGAGTGTCCCTGTGTGAGGTGTGCCTTTGCTGTCTGCATGTTTTCCTAGGATCTCATTTATGTTAAAACACACACACACACACACACACACACACACACAAAACCAAACAAACGGGGGGGGGGGTGGTGAGGGGGGCCGCTGGCTGGGTGGCTCAGTGGTTGGAGCATCCTCCTGGACACTGAAAGGATGCAGGTTTGATTCCCAGTCAGGGCACATACCTAGGTTTCGCGTTTGATCCCTGGTTGGGGAACTTGTGGGAGGCAATTGATCGATGTTTCTTTCTCTCTCTCTCTCTCTCTCTCTCTCTCTCTCTCTCTCTCTCTCTCTCATACACTCTCTCTCTCTCCCACACACTCTCTAAAAATCAATGGAAATAATATCCTCAGGTGAAGATGAACAAAAACAGAAGAACAAACAGAAGGGAAAATTGCTCTAAAGGTACATTTCCATTGCACTCAGATTTGAAAATACAGACGAAGAGGAGCCAGGTCAAACACTTTTGCTCTGAATACATATTAACCTTTCCCTCTCAACTGGTTCCCTCTCAGGTTCCGGGGTTTTAAATCCCAGAATTCCATGTGGCTGATAGGCGAGTGTTCTGACAAGTTAACCAGCTAGAACTTGATGGTCCGATAAGGTAAGCCACTCGCCAGGGGTAGCTATTGACATACATTTAAATGGAGTAAAATGTTTACTTCCTCAGTCTCCATGGCCCTATTTCTTTTTTAAATATGTTTCTGTTGATTTGAGAGAGGACACGAGAGGGAGAGGGAGAGAAGAAATATCGATCTGCTGCCCCCTGCAGGCTCCCTGCTGGGATTGAGCCCACCACCCAGCCTTGTGCCCTGACTGGGAATTGAACTGGCGACCTTTCGGTGCTCAGGACCAATCCACGGTGGCCGGGCCCGTCTCCCTTGCTCAGCGGCCCTGTGCTGGCGGCGGCCGCGGCGGACGGCACAGACACGGAACTGTTCCGCCAGCGTGGGAGTTCCGCAGGACAGCGCACTGCCGCGATTCCGGAGAACAGCTGGCCACGGCTCCAGGGGTGTCGAGTTTCAGAATTCCAAGATCTTTTTTCTTTTTATAAAAAAATACATTTTTTATTGTTTTCGGAGAGGCAGCGAGAGAGACAGAAACATCAGTGATGAGAGGGAATCATTGATCGGCTGCCTCCTGCACATCCCTTACTAGGGTCCGAGCCTGCAACTCAGGCCTGTGCCCTGGGCCAGAATGGAAGCAGGGCCCTTCAGTCCCCAGGCCAATGCTCTATCCACTGAGCTAAACTGGCTAGGGCAGGATTCCTAGGTTTGTTTGTTTTTTGTGTTTTTTTTTTTAAATCACGATCGTGTCCTGGCATTGTAATATTCTCGAGTTCCGAGATGTTCCTCAGCAGAGAGTCTAATACCGTCTTGTTTTAGAATTTCCAGAATGCTCCCCGGCCACTGCTCTGACCTTGCATTCTACAGTTCCAGGATTCTGACAGACTAGAGTTGGTATATTCTAAAATTCCAAATGCTAGTGAGCTAGTCCACTGGGATTGCTGGAAGCCCAGTATTCAGACACACCGGCTTCCCAACATTGTCTTATCCTAGTTTCTTTTCTTTAAAAAAAAAAAAAAAAAAAAAAAATCCTTGTTCTGGCCGAAACCAGTGTGGCTCAGTGGATAGAGCGTCGGCCTGCAGACTGAAAGGTCCCGGGTTCGATTCCAGTCAAGGGCATGTGCCTTGGTTGCGGGCACATCCCCAGTAGGGGGTGTGCAAGAGGCAGCTGATCGATGATTCTCTCTCATCGATGTTTCTAACTCTCTAACCTTCTATCCTCCTCTCTGTAGAAAAAAAAAAAATCAATAAAACATTTTTTAAAATCCTTATTCGGGGAATATTTTTACACTGACTTTTAGAGAGGGCGGAAGAGAGAGGGAAAGACAGAGAGAAACATCGATGTGAGAGAAACATCGCCCTAACCTGGACCTGGGCCCGGGAGGAGCCTCCAACCCGGGTACGCGCCCTTGACCGGAATCGAACCCGGGACCCTTCGGGCCGCAGGCCAGTGCCCTGTCCGCTGAGCCACACCAGCCAGGGCTCACCGCCTAGCTCCCGAGATCCCGCTGGGCCGGGGTCCCGCACCGGAGGATTCCCTGGGCGGGAGCGTGTCCCTGACCCAGGTTCCCTGGCTCCTGTCTCCCGCCCAGGCGTCGGGATGGAGAACGCGTCTGCCGACGGCGGCGACTACGATTACGGCCACTACGGCTCCGAGGTCTCGGACTTCCCCGTGGACTGCGCCGAGGGCATCTGCCAGGCCATCGGCCCTCTCCGCGTGGCCCCCCTCCTGCTCTACGCCGTGGTCTTCCTGGCCGGGGTGCCGGGCAACGCCATGGTGGCCTGGGCGAGCCACCAAGAGGCCCGGCACCGGGCCGGGGCCGCCTGGTTCCTCCACCTGGCCGCGGCCGACCTGCTCTGCTGCCTGTCCCTGCCGGTGCTGGCGGTGCCCGCGGCGCTGGGCGGCGCATGGCCCTACGGGGCCGTGGGCTGCCGGGCGCTGCCCTCGGCCATCCTGCTGACCATGTTCACCAGCGTGCTGCTGCTGGCGGCCCTCAGCGCCGACCTCTGCCTCCTGGCCCTGCGGCCGGCCGGCGGGGCGCCCGATCGCCGGGCCTGCCGGGTGCGCCTGGCCTGCGGGGCGGCCTGGGCCCTGGCCCTGCTGCTGACCCTGCCCTCGGCCGTCTTCCGCCGGCTGCACCGGGAGCACTACCCGGCCCGGCTGGAGTGCGTGGTGGACTACGGCGGCTCTGCGCTGGCCGAGGGCGCCGTGGCCGCCGCCCGGTTCCTGTTCGGCTTCCTAGGGCCGCTGGCCGTGGTGGCGGGCTGCCAGGGCGCCCTCCTGTGCCGCGCCGCCCCCCGCCGCTGGCCGCTGGGCACGGCCGTGGTGGCGGGCTTCTTCCTGTGCTGGGCCCCCTACCACCTGCTGGGGCTGGTGCTGGCCCTGGCCGCCCCGGGCTCCCGGCTGCTGGCCCGGGCCCTGCAGGCCGAGCCGCTGGTGGCGGGCCTGGCCCTGGCCCACAGCTGCCTCAACCCCGCGCTCTTCCTGTACTTCGGGCGGGCCCGGCTCTGCCGCTCGCTGCCGGCCGCCTGCCGCTGGGCCCTGCAGGGGCCCCGGAGCCAGGAGGAGAGCGCCGTCAGCGAGAAATCCACCAGCCACGACCTGGTCTCCGAGGTGGCGGTGTAGGTCGCAGGGAAAACCGGTGGGTGTCCTGCGATCCCACGTCACGGAACTGGCCTCAGGCAGAGGGAGGGTCAGAGGTTCAAGGCTATGGTCATTTATCCCTTTATTCACAAACGTTCCTTTAAAAACACACACACACACACACACACACACACATATATATATATGTATGTATGTATATATATGTATATGTATATATATACACCGATACACACACACACACACACACACACACACACACCCCCGGTGTGTATATATATATATCTTGCCCTAACTGGTTTGGCTCAGTGGATAGAGCGTCAGCCTGCGGACTGAAGGGTCCCAGGTTCGATTCTGGCCTGTATCTTGATTGCAGGCACATACCCAGTAGGGGGTGTGCAGGAGGTAACTGGTCAACGTTTCTCTCTCATCAATGTTTCTAACTTGATATCCCTCTCCCCCTTTTTTTAAAAAAAATATATTTTATTGATATTTTACAGAGAGGAAGAGAGAGGGATAGTTAGAAATATCGATGAGAGAGAATCATCGACCAGCTGCCTCCTGCACACCCCCTCCTAGGGACTGAGCCCACAACCTGGCATGTGCCCTGACCAAGGAATCGAACCAACAACCTCCTGGTGCATGGGCTGACTCCCAGCCACCCCGGCCTGGGCTGTTCAGATCCTTTAAATCACACAGCAGTGGCACCTGAGTGTAGAGTCGTTGCTCCAAGACAGCACGTTACCCAGTTTTCCTTTCCGGTCATCCTTACAACCACCAGGGAGCGCGAGGGAGAGGCTTCGTGTTAGAAGCTGAGGCCCAGGGCGGGAGGTCATTTGCCCAAGGCCACACTGCAAGGGAATGACAGAGCCGAGATCGGATCCCATGTTCACTGGACTCCAGTGTCCACGCCCTCCTTAATCAGCGAGATTCTCCTCCGATGCCTTGTTCCAACAGCACTTTCTCCAGCGAGCCCTCCCTGACGCATCCCCTTCCCAGGGAGGAAGCAGTGTGCTTCTCTTTTCCGACTTCCCGGAATACAAGTTCCCAGCCACACTGTAAATCCCCCAAGGGTGACATCTGGGCCACTTTAATTCCTTTAAAAAAAAAAAAAAAATATATATATATATATATATATATATATATATATATTTTTTTTTTTTTTTTTAAATTGATTTTTTACAGAGAGGAAGAAAGAGGGACAGAGAGTTAGAAACATCGATCAGAGAGAATCATCCATCAGCTGCCTCCTGCACACCCCTCACGGGAGATATGCCTGCAACCAAGGCACATGCCCTTGACCGGAATCGAACCTGGGACCTTTCAGTACGAAGGCCGACGCTCTATCCACTGAGCCAAGCTGGTTTCGGCTAATCTCCTTTTTAAAAATAATTTTTTATTTTTCAATTGCAGTTCACATACATTACTATATTAGTGTCAGGTTGTACACCCCAGGGAGACATTATGTAACTTACTAAGTAATCATCCCAATATATCCTGTGCCCATATGACAACATATCTAGTCATTAAGATATAACTGATTGTATGCCCTATGTTGTACTTCACATCCGCATGACTATTTTGTAACTGTCCATTTGTACTTCCTTAAAAATTTTTTTTTTATTGTAAAGTATTACATGTCTCTTTTCCCCTCAATTTGTACTTCTTAATCCCTTCATCTTTTCCACCCACCTCCCCGACCCTCCTCCTATTTAGTAACCATCAAAATGTCTTCTGTACCTATGAATGTTTCTGTTCTACTTGTTCGTCTATTTTGATCTTTGGATTCAATTTTGATAAATATGTATTTATTGGCATTTTATTGTTCATATGTTTAATTTATTTTTCTTCTTCTTCTTAAAGAAGACCCTTTAACATGTAATACTGGTTTGGCGGTGATGAATTCCTTTAGATTTTTCTTGTCTAGAAAGTTCTTTATATGTCCTTCTATTCTAGATGATACCGTGTTTCCAGGAAAATAAGACATCCTCCGAAAATAAGACCTACTTACAGGTTTCCTTCTGAGTGAAATATAAGGCATCCCCCCGAAAATAAGGCCCCCCTAGGCTAAACATGAGAGATTTGGTCCACTGATTCTGAAAGAAATGGAGTCACAAGAAATTCACCAGGAAATTCAGGAATTGGATTGTTATGATGATGTTCCAGAAGATGATGACATGATTGTCATTGAATAAATGAGTAAATTCTTGATACTGTAGGATTCACAGTTTGTCTGGTTTGTGTTGACAACTACTGTACTACCGTACTGTATACAGGTAATAAATTTCCTTTATTTTCATTTAACAATAAATGTGTGCCGTATTCTTCTTCATGGAAAAATGAGACATCCCCTGAAAATAAGACCTAGCGCATCTTTGGGAGCAAAAATTAATATAAGACACTGTCTTATTTTCGGGGAAACAGGGTAGTTTTGTTAGGAAGAGTAATCTTGATTGTAGGTCCTTGTTTCTCATTAATTTGAATATATATATATATATATATATATATATATATATATATATATATATAGTTTTGTTTTTGCCAGTCCCTTCTGGCCTGCAAAGTTCCTGTTGAGAAATCAGCTGACAGTCTTATTTTAAGGAAACTCCCTGGCTTCTTTTAAGGTTCTTTTTTTCTCTTTAATCTCTTACATTTTAATTATAATGTGACTTGGTATGAGCCTCTTTGGGCTCCTCTTTTGGGACGCTGCACTTCTGGGACTTGTATGTCTATTTCCCTGACCATGTTAGGGAAGTTTTCTGTCATTTTTTTTTAAATAGGCTTTCAATGTCTGGCTTTCTTTCTTCTCTTCCTGGCCCTCTATGCTGTGAATGTTGCCACACTTGAATTTGTCCCAGAGGCTCCTTACACTCTTTTCGTGTTCTGTTTTGTTTTTATTCTTTTTTTTTCTTTTTCTGTCCCTATTGGGTCCCTATTATGCTTCCTTGTATTCCAAATCCCTGGTTTGATTCTTGGCGTCATCAACTCTACTATTGGTTCCTCATAAATTATTCATTTTAGTAAGCGCAACCTTCATTTCTGACTGGTTCTTTTTAGGGTTTCCATGCCCCCCTCTTTAAAAAAATATATTTTATTGATTTTTCACAGAGAGGAAGGGAGAGGGATAGAGATTTAGAAACATCGACAAGAGAGAAACATCGATCAGCTGCCTCCTGCACACCTCCCACTGGGGATGTGCCCGCAACCAAGGCACATGCCCTTGACCGGAATCGAACCCGGGACCTTTCAATCCGCAGACCGATGCTCTATCCACTGAGCCAGACCGGTTTTTGGCTGAGCCTTTTTAAAAAACAAAACAAAACATTTTATTTATTTTTTTACAGAGAGGAAGGGAGAGAAATAGAGAGTCAGAAACATTGATGAGAGCGAGTTATCAGTCAGCTGCCTCTTGCACGCCCCCTACTGGGGGTGTGCCTGCAACCAAGGCACATGCCCTTGACCAGAATCAAACCTGGGACCCTTCAGTCCCCAGGCTGATGCTCTATCCACTGAGCCAAGCCGGTTTCGGCTGTAGTTGAGCCTTGATTGCTGTTGGCATGCTGATGGGAGGGATTTACCCGCAGGCTAATCAGCTGCAAGGACTGGCTGCGACCAGACCAACGTAGAGGATCAGCTAGCTGTGCAGGAGCCCATCCCATGGAGTAGGACTTACTTCGGCAGGACTCTGGTGCTCGCTGAGTCCACCCCGTGAGTGTCACTTGTGGAGGTGGTCAGGTGGTCTCTCAAGGTGACCTGAGGCTGAGCCCTGGGTGCGATGGCTCTGGGGCCTCCTGGAGGTGCAGGCCAAGGTCTGTTGCCCGCTGTGTTCTGCCAGGGACCTCCTCCTAGCATGAGCTGCAAAGCAATTTGCAGATGGCTGCTGCTTATGCTTGGCTTGGAGGTGCTCAGGAGAAGCCAGGCTGTGAACCAAGGCCAATTGTTCCCAGAGCCAGGCCTGGGGCCACTTAATAAGAGGAATGGGGCACACCAAGGCCAGATGCTGCTTGTTTCTCCCATGGAAAAGCCATTGGAAACTGATAGATCCTCCCTCCCTCCAGTTGATGGACAGACGTAAACCCCACCTGCTGCCAGACACTCCTGAGCTCTGAACCACCAATCAGCACCTGCCAAATACCCTAAGCCCCCGACTCCTAAGTCCCTAGGCCCCTAATCACCAATCAGCGTGTGCCGAGTGCCCTAAGCCCCGCCCCCTATCCTTAAAGGTGCTTGTACGCCGGTTGCTCGCTCCCTTCCGCCCCTCTCCATGGAAGCAGCCGGCAGGGGTACCCTTCCCTCTAATAAAGCCTGTGTGTGTCCTGCCATCCCAATCTCTGGCTACCTTCTTATTTAATCTATCAGAAACAGCATGGTTGGGCCCACACGTTGGCTGGGGCAGGGTCTCAGGGAGTCAGTGGGGGTGGGAGTGGGGGAACAGCATTAGCCAGGTTGATGGAAACTCAAATATGGTGCCTGCCTGCCAGCTCTGTAGAGAAAGGGCTCAGCGAAGGAACGATGACCTCTGCCAGCACTTCTGTCTGGAGAAAGCCCTCTTCCTGGTGCCACGCAGTTCAGTTCCTCCCCATGTGTCCCTGGTGCCCTCTGAGCTGCTGCCCCAGGGTTGGAGCTCAGAGAGAGTGAGTCCAAGTAAGTCGGAATGTGGGCACTTGGAAGAGGAACTGCCTGGGGCTCTGGCAGCCTTCCATCTCACTGATCCACAGTCCCCGCTGGTTTTTTACAGCCTGAGTTATGGGGTCTTCTCTTCCTGGAGCCGGAACCCTGGCCTGGGGGAGTGTGGTGGAGAGTGGGGGTCAGGACCCTTCGCTCTTTAGGGGGGACTGTTACCGGAAAATCCGGGGTTGGGCTTGGGCTGCCTGTTGCTGTGTTCAGTAATGAAGGCAGGGTTGAGTCATAGAAGTTATTTATGGAGAAGGTCAGCCAACCAAGAAGACGGGGTGCTTACAAGCATCCATTCCTGTCTCACAGCGAGGTGCAGGGGACAGGATTGTAAAGGGGAAGGGGCTAGGGTGAGGCTGGGGATGGAATGCAGCTACGTGCAGCCCTGGAGGCCCGCAGATGGTCAGCTGTTATCTTCAGTCATCCGGCGGTGAGATGATGTTGATGAGATGATATTTTGACTCCGGGTA